AATTTAGCTGATGAGAATTTAGACTTTAGAAGACAATCCCTACGCAGGGATTGTATGCCAGGAGCTGAGGAGTGTCTGACATTTCTTTGTTGTTTGACATTATTCCTAAGATAGTTTCTGTCTTTTATTCTCCATTGGTTCCTCATTTTCCACCTGGCTGCTGCATCCACCAGTGGATGGGAACTGGTTTATTGAGCTGTGACAAGGGCCCTGCCTTAAACAATGCATTCTGTAGTGATTTTTAAGCACTCATGTGTTTACTTCTGAAGACATTTGAACAACAGGAGTTCTTTTTTTTGATTCATAGTGATGTATCTGATGTGTTAGCACTAAATCTGAACTGAGAAGTGTTCCACAAGTGGACAATTAATATGGGAGCAATTACATTCCAATGAATTTCATCAATTTCAGAAGCTTCCTTTGGAGGAAATAAATACATTATTTTGGGTTAACCCGCTATGACTTCCACATTTTCCTTTTCCAGTTTAACCACCAACTCAAACAGGCATTGAACTGCAAAGCAGTCCAGGAGCAAACTCCAAATATGACTTCCACAGCCACGTCCTGCAAAAATCACCTTTTTTTCAGGCAGTTAATTAGTTCTTCAGAACACCTACTTAAAAAAAATCAACCCATGGTGTTTATGTTGCAAGTAGAAACAGTTTGACCTACGTTGGAGTTACCATCAGCTGATGCACAGCTCGAAGAGCAAATTAATATCAAAGTAAAATCTGGGTGTTTTTTTCTTTCTTTCTGATCTTTCTGGGTGTTTTGTTCTTTCTTTTTCTTTGGGAAGCCACGGACATTGGTCGGAGTGGTGACACATTTGTAGCCACATCCATCCAAGAAGCCATCAGCAGCGTGGACCACGCCATCAACTCAACACGCACCGAGCTCTTCAGCAAGTAAGTGTCTGAAGCACCACGAGCTGAGACCTGAGGCAGAAAAAAAGGTAAAAAACCAACAAATGAATCTGTCTCAAACCTCCTTTCTTCACCGACGATCCTCAGAGGAAAGCTGTGGGATTGTTTTGAGTGTTGGAGGTTGAAGCTGCACCATGGAGGTGTGAGGATGTGGTAGAGCTTCGTAACAGGGATTTGGGATTCTGGAAAAATCTGCTATATGAATATCACCTTTTATGTCACTTATATCTGGGATGTGTATTGCCAGCTAGAGATGACCCCAAAAACAGTGTGTAGGAGGAAAAATAATCAGTGTTGCCAATTTGTAAGTAGAACTGACTTTGTAGGTGAACAGAAATAACAGTAATTCTAACCATTTCCTCAGTGAAAAATGACTTCTGGGGTGAATGGTCATTCCCTCCTCTTGTTTTTATGGAAAAGACAGGAATTTAAACCCCAAACCTCTGGGCTTCAGCAAGAAGTGAAAAACAAATTGCTGTAGCAGAGGAAAAAGCCAAGATGCTGAGGCAATTAAATATCTCTATTTTCCTGGGGGAAAGTCTTCTTTAATCATCTCCAGTGTGCAGGGAAACCACGTGAGACTGAGGCACTGGTTTTGGGGATCAAAAGAGCTCGGAGCCTGGCTCTTGCTGCCTGCAGAATCTCACTGCTCTGACCAGAGTCTGTTTATTTTCATGTTCCTGCATCACTTCTGCTCCCTTGGAACAGACGCCCCAAGACACCCAATGACTTGTTGGCTCTCTTCCGTTACCCCCGGGACCCCTACACCATCGAAACAGCCAGGGCAGGTGAGATCTTTGAGAGGACCTTGCAGCTGATCCAGGAGCACGTGCAACAAGGTCTCATCGTGGATATGAATGTCACAGGTAGGACAGAGTTTTTTTTCTTTCCCTTCTTCACTTTGCGCCTAGGATTAAATCGAAACCATTTCATGTGTAGGCATCTGGAAAGCTTCAAAAGTGCAATGATGGACCCAAAATGTGGGTCAGTTTTGAGTAGATCAAGGAATGTGTTGTCTGGGTTGCAGTGCTCTTTACATCTCATGGTTTTCCTAACAGCTGAGGGCTGGTCTTGTGTCTCCTGAACCAACTCAGTACTCAGGAGAGCGTTTCAGTTCCCTGTTTTGCTGAAGATTTCTTGACTGGCTTTGAAAACCTGAATCTTTAAAAATATTTCCTGCCTTCCAAGTGGCAACGAGAAAAATGCTGAAAAATAAAAAGGAAAAAAATATTTTTTTCTGGAATATTTGGGTGCTGAAACAGAGGAGGGGGGATGTCACTCCTCTGTCTCTCCACTGCTTTGACACCTTAGCTACAAACTCAGGCAGGTTCCAGCAACTCGGGTTCCTTTTCTTGAGGCAGGAGAAGAAGCAACAAAACAATGCAACGCCCAAAATACTCGGTGAGGTCCAAGCATCCAGCAGCTGGTCTCCAAAACTTGCTAGCTGGGGCTTTCCTCTACCTAGAGCAGACGTTCCCATGCGCCACACATTTCCACCTACACGTGTGAATCACCATGTAGCAGGCGTGTACAATATTTTTCCCTGGCTGGCTGCGCTCCAGGGTGTGAGGAATCTTCCTCCAGGGTGTGAGGAGTCTTCCTCCAGGCTGCAGGTCTGGTCTGGGCTGGTCGGACTGCCAGGCTCTGCTCCACGTTGCCTTCTCAGCAGCATTATTCAGCTCTTTTGTGCAGGGCAGCACCCTGGCCGTCACCCAGGGCTTCCCTGCTGCTCGTCACGTAGGGTTTGCATCGTTGATGGTGCTCAGGGTTGGAGTCATGACCCAGAGAGATGGAAAAGAAACCCGGAACAGAGACCGAGAGCACCCTCACTGTTTGCTCTGCCCATCACAACGTTTCTGGTTTCCACCTCTGTGCAATTTATGCTCTACCCTTTTCCCCTTTTTTCTTCTCTGGGGGCTTGATAGGACCCCGTGCTTCATTTCCCTTCCATCAGGACCTACCAGCACCCCAGCCAGAGACCTGGCTGTGCCCAGCAGGCGATCCCAGCGGGGGGATTCACGTGGAGCCCCCCACACAGGGCGGTGGGAACTGGGTGGGCGCAGCCGTGGTCTCACCTGGTGGTTTTCACCTTCCCAGGCTATCGGTACAACGACCTGGTGTCCCCTCACTACCTGACCATGATCGCCAACCTGTCGGGCTGCTCCGCCCACCGCCGCACCCCCAACTGCTCGGATATCTGCTTCCACAAGAAGTACAGGACCCACGACGGCTCCTGCAACAACCTCCAGCACCCCATGTGGGGAGCGTCTCTCACCGCCTTCCAGAGGCTCCTCAAACCCGCCTACCAAAACGGTTTCAACCTCCCCCAGCCCAGGGCCCTGCCCCTTCCTCTCCCTCGCCTGGTCGCCACCGCCATGGTGGGGACGGAGACCGTCACCCCCGACGCCCAATTCACGCACATGCTCATGCAGTGGGGCCAGTTTCTGGACCACGACCTGGACCAGACGGTGGCGG